TCTATGCTTTTGGCATTCTCATTAAGATCCTTGAAGGTCTCACCAAGTTTCTCAGAGGTTTCTAGAAGATTCTTGAGTAACCTTATGACTGTGGTTTTGAACTCTATATCCAGTATTTTGCTTTCTTCCATTTTTTTCATTTGTGACATATTTCTTTGTCTCCACATTTTGGTTGCTTCCCTGTGTTTGTTTCTATGTATTGGGTAGTTGCTAAGTCTCCTTGAGTTCACAGAGTGGCCTTGTGTGGTAGGTGTCCTATAGGGCTCAGGGGCTCAGGCTCCCCAGTCACCTGAGGTGGACACTCTTGGTGCACCCCTTTGTGGGCAATGTGCACAGTCTTGTTGTAGTTAAGCCTTGATTGCTGTTGGTATCACTGGGAGGAACTGACCTCTAGGCCAATTGGCTGTGAGGACCAGCTGTGTCTATAATGGAAGAGCTGCTGTGCAGGAGACATTCTTATGGGGCAGGAGTTGCTTCAGTGGTGCTGAGTCTGCCCCTTGAGTGTGTCGCTTAAGGATGTGAACAGTTGTAATCTGGTATGGTCTCACACTGACCACTGGGTACAATGGCTCTTGGATCTCCAAGGAGGTGCAAAGTCAGCCACTTCCTGGGGCCACTAGCAGGAGCTAGAGAGATCTGCAGATTCCTCCTCTTTGTATCAGGTTTGGAAGTGCCCAGATGAGGCCTAGCTGTGAAGCAAGGGAGGCTGCTGCTACTGGCCTTGGGCCTTCTTATGATAGCTTAGGGGCTCCCTGACCCAGCTGCTGCCTGTTTGACAGGTTTTAGGCTGAGAAAGGGCAGGCCATTCATATGCAAAAGCCTCTGCACACAGCTTGGGTGAGGTTGTAAATTGGGTGGGTGGGGGTTTCAGGGAATCACCAGGGCAGAGCAAAAAACAATGGCTGCCAGTCAGCCCTGCACCACAGAGGTCCCGGCGCAGGAGCAATGACTGCTGTGAGCACCTCCATCTGAAAGAAAACTGCCCTCGAGTTCCTGCCCCGATGCCAGATACTCCAGTTTCCCCCCGTATGTGTCTGGGTCCCCCAGAGTCTCGCCTGGAACTGGAGTTCAGAGCAAGCAGGAGTTTGTATCTCCCTCCCAATTAAAAAAGCAGCGCACCTGGGTGCCAGCCCGTTCTGTGCCTCTGCACTTCCTACCAGTCTCAATGAGCTTTCTTCTTTACCTCTCTGGTTGTAGTACTTCCACGCAGCCAGCTTTCCCGTGGTTCTGGATGATAGCTGTTCTGTCTTTTAGTTGTAATTTTGATGTGGTTGTGAGAGGCAGAAAGTACAGGTATTTACCTATGCCACCATCTTGGTTCTCTTTACTTCACTTTTAAAATAAAAATTTTTCTTTGCCCTGGCTGATGTGGCTCAGTTGGTTGGGTGTTGTCCTGTGCACCCAAAGGTTGCCAGCTCAATTGCTGGTAGGGGCCATGAAGGAGGCAGCTGCTCAATGTCTCTATCAATATTTTTCTCTCTCTCCCTTCCCCTCTCCAAAAACCAATAAAAATGTATTTTTTTAAATAAAAAAATTATTTTTTAATTAGAGTCAACATACATTATATTAGCTTCAGGAGGGTCATAGTTATTAATCATCTATGAAACTTATGAAGTGATCACCCTGATATGTCTAGTCCCATCTGATACCAGTTATTATATTATTGACTGTATTCCCTATTCTGTACTATACATCCCCATGACAATTTTGTAACTGCCAATTTGTACTTTTTAATCCTCAAAATATGTAATGCTTGATGAATTTGTATGTCATCCTTGCCCAAAGGCCATGCTAATCTCTGTAGCATTCCATTTTAGTATGTGTGCTGCTGAAGGAAGCAACAGATTTCCTTCTCTTTTTTTTCGGTGTTAAAAATAAATTTTTTAAAAAGTTTTTATTGATATGAGAGGAAGGAAGACACAGATTTGTTGTTTCACTTATTTATGCATTAATTGATTGATTTTTGCATGTACCCTGACCAGAGACCAAACCCACAACCATGGTGCATAAAAAATTAACACCCAACACCTATTCTGGCGGCAGCGGGGGTGGGGGGTGGGGGGGACGACAACGACGGACTCAGGGAGCAACCGTGCAACCCCAGCCAGTGCAACAGCTTTACTTCTCCCTTTCCAATTTGCATGCTTTTTATTTCATTTTCTTGTCCGATTGATGTGGCTAGGAGTTCCAGTATTATGTTGAATAAAAGTGGTGCAAATGTTATATTGTTCCTAGTTTGAAAGAAAACACTTTTAACTTTTCCCCATTGGCTATGAAGTTAGCTGTGAGTTTGTCATATATGGACTTGATTGTGTTGAGGTACATTCCCTCTATTCCAACTTGGCTGAGACTTTTTATCATAAAAGACTGCTGAATTTTGTCAAATGACCTTTTTATTGATTTTAGAGAGAGAGGAAGGAAGAGACAGAAAGAGAAATATTGATTTGTTGTTGCACTTATTTATGCATTCATTGGTTGTTTTTGCATATGCCCTAACGGAGATTGAACCCACAACCTTGGCATATTGGGATGGTACTAGTCAACGGAGCTACCTAGCCAAGGCTCATTTGCCTTTCCTGCATGTGTTAATATGATGATATGAGGTTGTATCATGTTTACTGATTTGAAGATATTGAACCAACTTTGCATCCTAGCAATAAATCCCACTTGGTCATTAAAAAATCTTTTGAATGTATTGCTGAATTCAGTTTGCTAAAAATTTGTTGAGGATTTTTGCACCTATGTTTGTCACAGATAATGGTCTGTCTATACATATCCTTTTTGTAATGTCTTCATCAGGGTTGAAATGATGGTACTCACATCCTCATAAAATGAGCTTGGGAGAATAGGTGTTAATTTTTTGAATGTTTGATAAAACTCACTTGTGAGCCAACCGGTTTAGAGCTTGTATTTGTTGAGAGTTTTTTGATTACTGATTTCGTTTCAGTTGGTAGTAATTGGTATATTCAGATATTCTGCTTTTTCTTGATTCAGTCTTGGAAGATTGTATGTTTCTAGAAATTTATTCATTTCTTCCAGATTGTCCAATGTGTTGGCATGTAATTTTTTGTAGTATTTTTTTTATAATTCTTTGTATTTCTATGGTGTCAGTTGTCACTTTCATTTCTGATTTTATTTATTTGGGTACTCTCTTTTTATTCTTTTAAAATCACCCAAACACATGTTTTTTATTGATTACAGAACAAAGATGGGGGTCGTGGGGAGAAACGGATCAGTTGCCACCCTTACACACTCCAACCTGGAAAAGAACCCACAACCTAGATATGTGCCCTGACTGGGAATCAAACCCACCTTTTGGTGTATGGGACAATGCTCCAACCAACTGACCAGGGCTTTTTTCCTTTCTTCTTTCTCTTCTTCCCTCCTTCTCTCCCTCCTTCCTTTCCTATTTTCTCTCCTTCCTTCCTTCCTTCCTTCCTTCTTTCCTTCTTTCCTTCCTTCCTATTATTTATTTATTATTTGCATTTTTATTGACTTCAGCGAGGAAGGGAGAGGGAAGGCCATTGCTCTATCCACTGCGCCAAACCAGCTAGGGCAGGCTCTTTTCTTAAAAAAAAAAAGTATTGATTTCAGAAAGGGAGAGAGGGAGATAAAAACATCAGTGATGAGAGAATCACTGATCGGCTGCCTCCTGCACGCTCCCTACTGGGGGTTGAGCCTGCAACCTGGGCATGTACCCTGACCAGGAATCGAACTGTGACCTCCTGGTTCATAGGTTGACATTCAACTACTGAGCCACACTGGATGGGCTACTCTTTTATTCTTGAAGAGCCTGGTTAAAGGATTATCCATCTTGTTTATCTTTTCAAAGAATCAGCTCTTGGAACCTTTTTTAGACTATTTTTGGTTTATTTCCACTCTCATCGTTATTATTTCCTTCCTTCTACTCACTTTGGGATCTGTATCTTGTTCTTTTCCTAGCTCCTTTAATTGCAAAGTTAGACTTTGAGATTTTTTTATTGTTTCTTTAGGTAGGTCTGTACTGCAATGAATTTTCCTCTTAGGACTTTTACTTAATGTGTCCCATAGACTTTGGGTTGTTGTGTTTTCATTTTCATTTGTCTCAAGATAACTTTTGTTTTTTTCCTTGATCTTGATTTGATGCTTTATTTGATTTCAATCTTCTTAAGTTCATTGAGACCTGTTTTCTGGCTTAACATGTGATCTATCCTGAAAAATGTTTCAAAAGCACTTGAAAAGAATGTATATTCTACTGCTTTGAAGTGAAATGCTCTAAAAATATAAATTGAATCCAGCTGGTTTAATGTGTCCTTTAAGGCTCCTTTCCTTGTTGATTGTCTTCTGGAAGATCAATCTATAGATTGCTTTGTTTGATGATGGAGTGTTAAAGTCCCCTACTATGACTGTAATTCTGTTGATCTCTTCCTTAGAGAAGCTAAGGTCTGTCAATTTTTGCTTCATATAGTAGGTGCTGCTATGTTGGTTGCATAAATGTTTACAAGTATTATTGGATAAATCCCTTATGTCTTTTTATTGGAGCACTTAATCCATTTACATTTAAAATGACTGTTGATAGTATGTACTTATTCCCATTTTTTTATTCACAATTGTTCTTTTTCCCCTGTACTGACTTTCTGCAAGAGTCTACTAGATGATGTCTTACATTTCACCTTCTCTATCTTGATCAAAGGCATTCCCTTCACCTACAATCTTCGCTGACAACAATCCTCCCAAGACTCTGGAGAGGGCAGTGGTCAGCTGCAACTTATACAAAGTCCTAGCCTACCCTTCTGCCCTGTTTCTATTTTTCCTCCCCTCAAGAATTTACTATATTGTGCTTGCTTCAGCAGCACATATACTAATACTGGAACAATACAGTGATTAGCATGACGCCTGTGCAAGGATGACCTGCAAATTCATGAAGCATTCCATATTTAAAAAGAAAAGCTAACTTAAACAAACTCAAAGATGCAAGAAATGGAGAAAACAGAACACATGAGGAGATTATTGTTCCTTACCTGGCAGTCATAAAAAGGGTGGCCCCGCCAGCACATCACATCCAGAATGTAGTAGGTCTGCTTCGCCTCACTGTAAATGCAGTCCAGAATGGTATAGTCTGAGACACAATACAGAAAGTCAGTACAGGGTGCCCTTCCAATCAGGGTTCCCTCCACCACAATCTAGGAAGCCCATCTTAGGGCTTGGGAACGGAATCCAATAATCCTTGGTACTTGGAGCAAGCACCAGCAGTAAGGTATGAGAATTCAGTGGGGAAAGCATTCCTCATGATGCAGCTGAAGAATGGTGACCTGAGGTAGGACAACACAGGAGGGATCAAGGCAACTCTTAAGCCAAGTGGAAATTCTGAGCTTTTATATAAATTGGGACATTTACTTACAGAAGCTCAAGTTTGAAAGCGAGTAATCATCCATTTTAGTTTGTAATTACTTTTGAGTTCCTATCATGGGCATTGTGTTCTGTGGGGGACATTAACTGCATGTAGTCCCTGCCTTTAAGAAAGTTACAATCTGCCCTTGCCAACATGGCTCAGTGGTTAGAGCATGGGCCCGTGGACCGAAGAGCTGCAGGTTTGATCCCCGGTAGGGGTGCGGGGGGCAATCAATCAATGTGTCTCTCTTACATGGATGTTTCACTCTCTTCCCCAACCTTCCATTTTCTCTTAAAAATAGGAGAAAATACCCTTGGGTGAGGATTAACAACAACAAAAATCATAATCCAGTTAAGGAGATAAGATGATCACAGAGGGAAGAACCAAGAGCTGAACTATAGTGCAAACTAACAATAGAAATTCCAGAAAAAAAGGGATTGGAACAGCAGGGAGTGCGTCATAGAAGACATGTGATATAAACACAGTCTTCTGGGTTAAGAATTAAAACAACAGGGCAGAGGGGTGGGAGGGCCTTCCAGGCCAAAGTACTGAATTGACATGAGAAAAGGCACAGAGGTAAAATAAATTGGGTACATGAGGGGAGCAAAAAGGCAAACCAGTGGAACAGAGCTAAGGGTGGACATGGAGAGTAGGGGAACGATACAAAGATGGGTAGACCAAAGCCCATGTGTGAGGAGCTCTAAAAGTCAATAGAGCAGTCTGGGCTCAGTACTAAGGACATGAGGAACCAGCAAGGGAGCCTCAGCAGGCAAGGAAGAGAGCAGGGTTCAGCCCAGCTCTGCCACTTTGTCACTAAATGACCATGAGCAAGTTATTTCACCTCCATGATTTAGTCTCCTCAGCTAGGCTCAGGTGGGAGAGAGAACCTAAGGTTAGGACAACGATAAAGGAAAAAAGGGAATTCGGCAGGGAAGCCCCAGCAACATCTTACTGTACATTACACTCAGCATTCTAAGGGACTTTCCCCAATAAACTGTAGTTGTCACCTTGTAATGGCAGTTCATGGGAAAGGCATGTTAATTTTAATTCAGGGATTTTTTTTTTGCCAAGCAGGCCTCATTAGGCTGCATCGAACTCTGCAGCTAGCTACAGAGGGCTGAAATTGAAGGAGATGGCCTGAATTCAGTGGGCAGGACGGTGCCTATGAAGTTTCAAAGGCATGCTTTCAAAGTGGATCTTTAAAACAAATGACCAAGAAACTTACACTATCTTTTTTTTTTATTGTATTTATTTTATTTTTTTACATTTTTTAAAAATTAAATCTTTATTGTTCAGATTATTACAGTTGTTCCTCTTTTTCCCCCCCCCATAGCTCCCCTCCACCTGGTTCCCACCCCATCCTCTGCCCTTACTGCCCCCACTGTCCTCATCCATAGGTGTATGATATTTGTCCAGTCTCTTCCCACACCCCCACCCCATTTCCTCCCGAGAATTGTCAGTCCACT